CCCTCCCTGAATCAGAGACTGAGCCAGGCAGACACTCTTTCTCCCACATGCATTTGCTTTCCTTTCTCTTTACACTGTACATTAATTCCAGCCAAACTTCTGTCTCTGTTCAACCCCTTCATTACAGCCACTGAACTTTCTCACGAGGGATAATTTGGAGTCCAGGGCGGGGCAGTGACAGAGAATTGCACTGTACCTGTGGTCTGTAAGCAATGCTGTTCATTTACATCCTCTTCTGGGATAGGAGGCGTTTGGAGGACTCAGAAGACCCCAACTCTGCTGTGGGGGGGTTTAAAGCTCGGCATGTCCAGGACTTGGTTCCCTGAGAGATTCAACACAAGTCACTGGAGGTGGGGAGGGGGGGGGGGGTCACTGCTGGAAAAACGAGCCCAATTAACTTCAAAACTTGCTTCAAGCTCCAGTCTTCCCACCAGGAAGCTGGGGGTGGGCAGGGGGAGAGAAGGAGCTCATGCAATCCCAGATGTACCGCATCTCTAGGAAAGAGCAGATGTGGAAATATTTTTTTTCAATCCACAACCGAGCTTGTAATAACATAGAGGCAGCTTCAAAACGTTCCTGATTAAGATGCTTCAAAGAAGTTTTCTCCCACCACCCGCAAAAGGATTATAATAGAATTTTACAGCACCAAAGGAGGCCATTCGGCCCATCGGGCCCGTGCCGGCTCTTTGAAAATGCTGTTCAACTAGTCCCACTCCCCGTCATTATCCCATCAGCCTACACATTTTTCCTTTTTAAGTACCTATTATTAGTATTAGTATTATCTTCACACATCGCAATTGTTATGAAGCTTGGCGTTATTCAGTCCATTGCTCACAAAGGCTATTTCAGTTAGCAGGCAGCAGTCCACACACACTGGGCTAAGGAGACCTTTGCTGAGCTGCTCTCCCTGGCACTTTGCTCACAGAAAATTAAAGCAGCTGCTGGTTCCTTATCAGGAGTTCAGTTTAGTCAAGACAGCGTGCAAGAGCTCACGATAAAAACCCACATGCGCACAAACAACAACAATATCAATGTTCAGTCAATTCGCTTTACAGTATATTCTGTTAAGCTCTTTGAGACGTCTCGATGACATGATAAGACGCTATGTCAAATGCAACGATTATTATTATCTGCATTCGACACAGGGTTTACTGCAGCAAAACGTCTCAAAGCGACACTCCCCAGTCGGTTTTCAACTCTCTCATCTGAGATCTTATACAATAGATAGCCTGACAGCGCAGAGCAGCAATTCCAGATCCGAAACAACACAGCCACACACGTGTCTTTGGTCATGTGCCCCCCGGCATTCCCTACTCTCCTGACCAGCCTTTTATCTGCTTTTACACTAAAACGTACACGTGCCATATTGTGTTCGAGCCAATGGTGGTGGTGAGGGGGGGAGGTGCACACCAGCCCCCTTTGCTAGCTCAATAAACCGAGCACAGAGTCTGAACCACCATGGTTTGGAGGGGAAGGTGGCTCAGTAATCCAGGAGGCGAGTGTGAAACATTTTTTTCTATTAAAAACAGCTCTTTCTGCTCAGAAAGTAACCCGCTCGGGACTAATGGGATGACAAAAGTCGTCTCAATAACCTCCCGGCTCCAAATGTACATAAAGCTGCCCGACTTAAAAGCAAATTTAATTCATAAATCAATAGCCCTGATTGATCTGGTCCAGTGGTCCAAGTTACCATGAGACTACGGAGGCGACTGACTGACAGCGGTGAAGGGGTTCAATGCGCTGTGCATTTTTTTCTCACAAATACCCATGCCTCTCACTTCCGAGAGGGAAGCTGAGGGAAGTGACATTTCTGATTGCAGACATTCTCGTGTAAAATACAGTCACTGTGCTCTGTGGTAAACCTTGTGAAGGGCTTCGTTGATGTGATAAAATGGGCGCTATAGCAAATGTAAGGCTTATTATTAGATTATAATATAGAGGCGGCCATTCTAACAGTGTGTACATGCTCTCCCTCTGCTCCCTCACCCTCACTAATGCTCAATGTTCATTAAGATCTCCTCCTCCCGTGTTGTAATAGTTTTAGTGACTCTGGTTACCCTGGAGCACTAAACGCTGTAACTTAATCTCGGAGCTCTTGTGACATGAAGCACTTAGTTTGTTTTACGTTGTTGGCACCTCCCTCAAGGAACCCCGCCCTGCTGGCTTCAGAGTCAATGTCGTTCGGTCCAAATACATTGATAGTTTGAAGCCTTCCTTCTCCCCTCCCAAACTCTGGCTTTCGTATCAATTCTTACTAACTTTGTTACACTTCAATGCAGATTATTTTCTCTAAAGGATATTGACTTGGTGGCCTTTGGTGGGCCACTGCTGTGAGCAAATTGGCTGCCGCCTTCGCCTGCAAATCCACAGCCACTTATTTAATAATAAAAATCCTTGCATTTGATATTGCGCTTTTCACGTCTCAAAGCGCTTCACAGAATAGACCGTAAAGTGAATTGACCGTATATTTGTGGGCGAAACGCAGCAGCACTTCAATTTGATAGAAGCTATGCAAACTGCTTTGAAGAGTTTGATGTGATAGGTTCTGTGATCAAATGCAAGGATTATAATCTTATATTATTAGGTTTGTATCATACCAGCTCATAAAATAGTTTCAGAGGTGGTCAAGGTATGAGTTTGATTGTCTTTTGGTCTGACACATGCGGAAACACATCACCATAGTTAAAAGAGTATCCAAACCCAACTGAGAATTGCATGCATCCACCCATATATATGTATATATATATCTATATACCATGGAAATCCCAGAAAATAGATTGTTAGAATGGAATGTGCGCTCTCTTGCCCTGAAGGGATGCATCCGGTTTACCTAATTACAGAAAGTATTAGATTGAGTGCCAAATGAAACACAAAACAAACCAGAATATCTGGCCTTTTTCCACTGCCTCCCCTCGGCATTTGGCTCAAACTAACACTGCTGTCCGACCAACAATACGTGGATTGATAGAGGGCTCACTCATCAGATCTCCTGAACTTTGTCTGTCAGCCTCATCGTGTCCTTGAGACGTCTCAAAGCGCTTCACAGCTTATATTGTAAAGTGGATTGTATTTTGTGGGTGAAAGCATCACAGGCCTAGGCAGATGGCTGTCAGACGCCCCACGTAGGCACTTGAACTCAACAGTCCAGGCTGAAACTCCAGCGCAGTGCTGATGGGAACATTGCATCGTTCAAGGGGCCATTCTTGGGATTAACTAAATGTTAAACTGAAGTCCTGGCTGCCCGTTCAGGTGAACGCAAATGATTGATTATATTTATATTATTATGATTGTTATTAGAATAATCAGAGCACATACAGACGATGCTGCAGAAGCTGATGAGGAAATACAACCCATGATGTGACAGTGAGTCACCCAGGCCAGGAAAGGCATGGAGTCAGGCCAGAGAGCCACATCCAGACAGTCAATGGAGTGAGTGTGTGGGGGGGCAGTGTCTGCTGGCTGGGAGGCAAGACCAGTTGTGTTAAACACTTGGCAGCACTCAGCATCCAAGCTGCTACACCAAAAACAGCTACTTAGGCAAAGGGTGGGGTGGGGGTGTCACACCCAGCACGTCTGTTGCTGCCTGGGGAGGGGTAAGAAAGGGCAGTGAGCTAACACCATCGGCATCCTCACTATGTCCTGCTTCACCCACAACACACACAGTCGCTCCACCGTACAGTACATCCTGTCAAGTGTTTCGAGGCGTCTCAGCGACGTGACAAGGATCTGCTATCAAATTAACTCACAAAGGGTTAACATTTCCTCCCCCCCAAAAAAACACATTACCAGCCTCTGACTTTCAGGTGCCTATAAAACGGCTGTTTTTTTCCTGGCTTTATTCCAACAAAAAGGTTCTTTCCTTCTCCCCTTTTAACGAACTCCACACTTCGCTTTAATCAACTATCAACTATCGTCCCTCTGTGTATCTGATCTCTGACTATTGTTCATGATGACCTGGACAATAGGATACGATTTAATGGCATCTCCTTACCCTCTGCTTTCTTTCCCTCTCTCTCTCTCTCTGCTCCCTCTCTTCTCCTGCCTGTCCCCCCCACCTCCATCCCTCTCCCCCCTCCATCCCTCTCCCCCGGCCATCCCTCTCCCCCCTCCATCCCTCTCCCCCGGCCATCCCTCCATCCCTCTCCCCCCTCCATCCCTCTCCCCCGGCCATCCCTCCATCCCTCTCCCCCGGCCATCCCTCCATCCCTCTCCCCCCCCATCCCTCTCCCCCGGCCATCCCTCTCCCCCCCATCCCTCTCCCCCCCCCCCATCCCTCTCCCCCCTCCATCCCTCTCCCCCGGCCATCCCTCCATCCCTCTCCCCCGGCCATCCCTCCATCCCTCTCCCCCCTCCATCCCTCTCCCCCTCCATCTCTCCATCCCTCTCCCCCCTCCATCCCTCTCCTCTGAAGTGGATGGTTTCCCACTCAAAAGTTATTACACAAACGCTCCTCGCAACACAAAACCCCAAGTCAAAGGCTTTGGACCGAAGGTCTCACAGTTATTGTGTTAAACTCCAATGTGCAGATACACTATCTCACATCCGCGCCCAAAGTCGCCCCAAAAAACTTTCATCACCGCAAATGTGTAGGCGATATCGAGGGAAATACTGACCACACGGGAGGGAGGGACAAGGGGGGGATTAAGGGATTATTATATTTGTTTGACAACCGTGTGGGGTAATAAAAGATTACAGTAGAAAGCGAGAAGACTTCTTGCTGCACAGTACAAACTGGATTAGTGCAGTCTACTGACATGACAGAGAGAGAGAGAGATTTACACCTATTTGGTTGTGTTAACAGCTCTCAATGTTACAGAGAATTCATCTGTGACTGTGGGGGAACTCGTTCGGCTCAGAAACTTGTAATTGAAGTTTGGTTTCATTAAAGAAATGGGTAGATTTCGGTGGTGAAATAATTCGCCGTGTGTGTGTGTGTGTGTTTGGAGGGGGGGGGGAGGGAGGAGGGTAAAAAGGGGGTTACAAAAATATCATTTTCTTACCTGAAATGAACTGACGTTTGGGTTCGTCGAGGTGAGTCGAGATTACATCCCCCATCTCTCTCTCTCTCTCTCTTTCTCTCTCTGTCGCTTTGCTCAGAAACCTCCCCACAGGAGCATAGACACAGCACAACACACACACACACACACACACAAGCGATTCCCTTAAGAAAACAGATCCTGGGCTCTTTATAACTTTCAAGCTCACTCCCAAACAGCGCCAAAAACTGTAGGAAAAACACTCCCCAGGAGTAGAGGAGAAAGAGAGTGAGTGAGTGTGAGAGAGGAGGGAGAGAGAGAGAGAGCTGAACACAAGCCCTTCCTTCCCTTGTCAGTTTCACGTTGATCCCTTTCCCAGCTCTCTCCTCTCGACACACCCTGCCTCCCTTTCTGGTTCCACAAGTTTCGCTCTAAAAGCTGGCTTGCTTTTTTTTTAGTCTCTCTCTCTCTCTCTCTGGATTTTGGTGCGGTTGTTTTGGTTAAGGGTGGAGTTTCAAAGCATTTACCATCCCTCTCCCCCCCCCCCCCCCCCCCCCCCCCGTGCTTTGAGATGTCTTAACGATGTAATAAGGCGCTATATGAAATGCAAGGACTCTTATTATTATTATTATCTGATTACAGGAGCTTACCAGGTTGGCGAGATGCCACAAAGTGCTTCGTGGGATATACTGTAAAGCGCAGTCACCCACCCGCGTGTTTTGCAGGTGAAGGCAGCAGTTACTTTGCACGCGGTAAAGTCCCTACGGTCAGCGAAGAGAAGCCAATTTTCTCCGCGTCACTGAAGTTAACCATGTCACCTTTAGTGAAATCAAGGACGTTGGTGGAAATGCAGGTCCACTGGTGTTTACATTGCTGCACAATAGATAAAACAGAAATGACTCACAAAGCTGTAATTCAATCAGGTAATACACACATACCTACAATTATAAAAATCAAGGTTACGGTTGAGAAATGCGTAAAGATCATCCAGGTTCTGTAAGACTCAATCCTCGCCTTTTCATTTTGCTGCCCGTCAACAACAACAACTTGCATTTACACAGTGTCCCTCACACAGGGTAGTGTCCCAGAGCGCTTGACAGTGGCAGAGAAGGACGCCAAGCCGGGGGGAAGTGACTGTAGATAATGGTCGAAGAGGAAGGTCTTCAAGCACGATCTGAAAATGGGGCAAAGCTGTCTGAGCGTCATGGGCGAGTGGGGGGATTGATCACATGATACTGTTCCAAAAGAGAAGGAAGTTTCTCCCCAATTCTGTGGCCTGGTCAACAATCCCCTCATCTAAATTGTTGATTTGCCAATTTGCTACTGATTGTGAGACAATGCTGTGTGCAAATTTGCCGCCGCATTTGCCTATAAATACAGAGTCACTACACTTTCCAGCAAAATCTTGTGAAGCACTTTCAGACATCTCGACCACATGATAAAGCCTTATTTCCGATGTTAGCTGCACATCCTTGATCTCCTGAAGCTGTTGCAATAACTCCACACTGGTATTAAATGCGATCTTCCTTTTCATTCAGGGCCATTCCCTGTTTTCTGTTCTGCAATTGTTTTTCCCAAACATGCCCACTTCAAAGGTACTCCGTCCTTCAGATGAGACATTCAGGCGGATATTAAAGATCCTGTGGTACCACTCGAAAAGAGAAGGGACTTTCTCTCTCCCAGTTCCGTGGCCAATAATCCCCCAAATAAAATTGGTTACTCATTTTATTGGCTGTTTGGGTGGGACACTACTGTGCGTACATTAACTGGCGTGTTTGCCTACAAATACACAGTTACTACACTTTACAGTATATCCTGTGAAGCACTGTGAAACATCTCGACGACATGATGAAGCGCAATATCAAATGCAAGGATTATAATAATTATTATTATAATTATTATTAAATGATCTAAGTGTGTCGGTGCTGTGAATTATTTTGCCTTAAAAATTGAGCTGATAAAGTGTCGGCTGGTGCACTCCTGACGCCTTGTGGTGATACTTTGTACTTTTCAAGATATTGGGTCAGTTTTGAACCCCATCATTGTGAACTGCTTTGTGGAGTTTTAACACCATATAAAAAAAACTAACTCTTTTTCTCCTGCACTGGTAGAGAGAGACACCAAATTGTAAGAGCAACACATGGAAACTTTCCTAAAGACAAAATATGCCCTCTTTTTGTTCTGTAGCTACTGCAAACTTGTCTATTTGTCCTGTAAACACAGGAGCTCACAGCCCTACTATGCGTGGATTATCTGGTCAGGGGTTAATGAATCCTAATGGTTCATTACGTTGACATCGCCTTAAATTGTTAGGCCTGACCCTGTTTTTTTGGCTCTCCGCACTTTAAACCGCACTCTTGAGTTCTAACAACGTCAGGGATCATCCTGTCATGTGACGCAACTGCAATTAATCAGCTGACCTCCGCCACCCACTGGAAAAGAAAGTCACTTTTGTTCAGAAAAAAAATCAAGGGCAGATTAGGTGAGGATTGAATCATAGAATCATAGTAATTTAAAGAGCAGAGGGAAGCCATTCGGCCCATTGATTTTGCACTAATTCTTAGAGGAAGCTGCACTTTTAATCCCACTGCCCGTCCTACAGCAACGACAACAACTTGCATTTATACAGTGCTCTTCACGTGGGGTAGCGTCCTGTAGCGCTTGGTCCTATCCCCAAACCCCTTCTAGCTTTCATATACCCATTGACTTCCCTATTGAAACCCTTAATGCCTTTCTACCATCTTAACCTGGTCGACAACAGTGGCTCCAGAAAAGGGCTGGGGATTGCCATGTAAAAAGGGGGCAACAATTTGCATGTTTGGGGGGAGTGTCACTGATTTAAAAAGTATAAGTATCTGCGCACGTGTTTAATACAACTTTGTCAGGCTGAAATGGAACCTTCTGAACCAAGCTCTCCTTCCTCTTCTCTTTGTGACTATCTTATATCGGAGTCCCCTGGTCACAGATCCCGCCATCGGCCCATCTTATGTGTGTGAACACATTCCACACCATTACCACCTCTTTGGGTCTCAAATCACCTCTGACTGACCCATGTACAGGATGTTGGTTAATGGCACAGCGTGTAGTGTGAGCGGTAATAGATGTCGCTGTGTGTGGACTTGTGCCCAGAACAATTACAGCCAATGAATGACTGATGTTTCCATTGCTGTGACTCTGAGCAAACTGACCGTCTGCCGCACACGTGACCCGACCGCAACACTGCCATTCCTTTCTGATCTACACTGCCTCCTGCTGGCGGCTTGTGGTCAGCAAGAGCAACAACAACAACAACAGTAACGACTTGTACTGTACTTGCACAGAGACTTTCATGTATAGGGTGAAAGTCTCTGGCAATGCTTCACAAAGATGATGCAGGTCCCTGAGTAATTTTGACCAAAGCCTGGGTGTAAGAGATACATTTTAAACAACAATAACTTTTTAATTTCTATAGTAAGTTAGCGCCTCAGAGCACTTAAGAGGGTTTGGGACACAGCGAGAGATATGTGTAAGGCTCTATATCAAATGCAAGGATTATTATTATCGTTATTACTATGAAGTGCCTCGGCATATAATGTCACACTTATTGTAAAAGTCGAACAAACAGTTGGACGAACAGGAAGTCTAGCTTGTTATCGGACGTTGCTGCAGGGAAATGCCCACAGCCTTCTCAGAGAAGAAAATCGGAAAATCAACATGTTTGGCATTGTGTGTAACGCATTGTTTGTTCCTTGTTTGACATGTTCACAGTCTTCCTCAATGGAAGGCATCCATTTACCAGTGTCAGGTTCCTGTGTATTTGGGTAACTTCATTGTTTCTGATGGAGATTTCAGCCCAACTCTGAGGTCAAAGTCTCACCTCTGAACACCCCCACCCCCGCCTGGCCCCCTCCCATATAGGGGATCTTTAGGAAGGAATGACAAGCCATTGGGGAAATGAACAAATCTGCACTGTTAAATTTAACCCATTGGTGGCTGCACTTGCTGCATGTCTCACTTTGTCGAGAGAGAAAAAAGCCTATGCAGACACGATGGGCCAATGTGATCCTTTCTCTGTGCTGTAAATTTCTGGAGTTCTGATGTGGGTAACACCCATCCACCCCTTCAGATAGGAAGTTTGGACATAGCAATTACCACATAGAAATGTTCAGCCACACATGTTCAGCTCTGGATGCGTTTCTAAAGCCCTGAAATTGCAACAAAAGCTACATCGGTAAAAGCTGATTCAGGTTCAGCCTTTGGGAATGAATAAAATGCTTCACATTGATTCCTGGGAAGACTTTCAATATCCGACGGCGTGAAAGGCACCGTATCAACTGCAAAGGTTATTGTTTTTATCGTTAGTCCCCGATGTGAGTGAGTCAGTTTAGGCTGTGGGAGGGGAGTGGGAGGGGGGTGGGAGGTGGGAGGTGGATCTTGTGCAATCTTTCATGCAATGGACATCCGTTGGCTTCCGGAAGATGTGATGCTTTGATCTGTGTGAAGACAAACTGCAGCAGGAACTTTAGTTCGTTATAATCGGCGGACACGATAACCTCGCACTTTGCATAAGTTATATCAAATATATGGTCCCAACTAATATGATTTGTGTGAGGTTTACAGTACATTGGAACTCAAGCTGTGGGGGGGGGGGGGGGGGGTGTATGTCTGTCTCTCTCTGGTGCGAGGGTTGAGTTCCACCCCCTGATGGCAGGAGAGGGTTTCTCACTCGATTGCCTCTCATTTGATTCACTGGGAAAGGGATGGGTTGTTCCTTTCCCTCTGTCTGCATCGCTTTGCAGGAACAACGAGGAGGGAGGGCAGGACATCCAATGGGAAGGAAAGAGTTAATGATTGGACATTGCTAATAATTTGGTTGTAATATACTGTACGTGTATATAAAAATACTATTTATTGCCCTTTTCCAATGGGCATATTTTCTTAGTTCTGCATTCCTCGATATTTCCAGATCACTTATCCATCACCGCAGCCCCCACCCCCCCCCCACCCATCCCCCCAAAAAACATTCCCAGATCATAAAATACAATACATATATAGAGATATATAGTGTATTTCATTTATTCTCCATTTGTATATATATGTGTGTGTGTGAAATTAATGAATGAAATTAACAAGTCGTATATATAGACACACACATATAGTATATACATATGGATACATATATGTATCTATGTGTATATATATTTATACGTATCCATATGGGTGTATGTATCTGTATGTATCTAAATGTATCTTTGTGTGTATGTATCTAAATATATCTATGTGTGTATATGTATCTATATGTGTGTGTATCTAAATGTATCTATATGTGTATATGTATCTGTGTGTGTGTGTATCTAAATGTATATTTGTGTGTGTATATGTATACCTGTTTGTTCAAAATACTGTATTCAAACCACAAAAAAGCACTCGCCATCTGGAGACTCTTCAAAAGGGTCACCTCATTAATATGAGGGGATAATGCGGGGAGGGAGAGGGGGTTAGAGAGCAGAGGGGAGGGGAGGGGAATGCAGTGAATGAAATGAAGGTGTCATTTCATTGCTCTCCCCCTCTCTCTCTCTCTCTCTCCCCCTCTCCAATCTCTTGGCGTTTACACTATGCATTGATGAAGCACTTGCTGACTGACACCAACAGCCACAGAGCAACGCTTTCAGTTCAGTGGCTCTGCCTTTGGCTGAGGCTGAGCTTTGGGCTGTGGTTGGGGATGAGAGAGAAAAAGGCAGAGATACACCAAGGAATTATCTGGAGTTGAGCCCGTGACGCGGTGCCTTTAATATCGCTCTCCTCGCAGTCAGCTGATAGAGAGGGATTTGGGAGCTGATAGAAGACATCATGGCACCCATCGGGCTTAAAGCTGTGGTTGGAGAAAGTAAGGACAATCTCTGTGCTTTTTATTCTCTCTCTCTCTCTCTCTCTTCTTTATATACATATATATCTATCTCTATTTTTGAAAATGGAAATAATACCAATCGTGGATTTTTTTTTGGCAAAAACAAGAGAGAAATATTAAAGGAAAAGAGCAAATGGTAGATTTCACAACGCCTTTCCCTCTCTCTGGTCTCCTCCACATCACAACATGCAGTCGATTCGGGACTGGATGCAGAGAGATGACATTAATGGGGATGGGTCTGATCGCTTGTCTGTTGTTGTTTTTCTACACGGTCCTATATTTTCACATTCATACAAAGAGATTGTATTTATGTATTTATATATATATTTTTAAAAAAGCCACATCCACATAGCCAGCCAACTGCACCTGGGGTTTGCGAGAATATTTAACGAGTTGATGGATTCTGTTAACGCTGTGTGTGTGTGTGTATCAATGTGTGTGTGTTTTATACTGTACAGTCGGTCATTCATTTACCGTAAATATAATATAAATGGGTGGCGCATAATTGCCTCTTTCGTAAAAAAAAGGTCGGGCACGTCATGTAAAATTCCCCACAGGGATAGAGGGAGAGAGGGAGAGAGAGAGACGTGTGGCTGTAAATGGGGGCGAAGGCTCGATGGATGTTTAAGAATTATTTGAGATTTACAGTGTGTGTGTGTCGGGGGGAGAGGATAAACCAGACAGCGCACGTTCTCACTGACAAACCAGTGAGATATCGCTCTGCTTAAACGCACTGCAGTAAAACACACAGTGTGTGTGTGTACATGTGTGTGTGTGTGAGATACAGTGGGAAATGTAATGCTGTACTGTGTAACTGTTTACAGTTCATATCGTTAAACCTCTCCCTCTCTCCCCCTCCCTCTCTCTCACTCATCAGAAATCTCCACTCCCCCTCTCCACCTCCAAATAAAATTGTCTACTTTCACTGGAAGGGAGCAACACAAAAAGCGACAAGGAGAGAGGAAGAGGGAGAGAGAAAGAGGGAGAGAGGAAGAGGGAGAGAGAAAGAGGGAGAGAGGAAGAGGGAGAGAGAAAGAGGGAGAGACTGGAAGAGGGAGAGAGGGAGGAGAAATAACGGTTCTATGTGTGTGTGTGTGTGTGAGAGAGAGAGAGAGGGGGAACAAGGAAATCTGGAGACTATGTTAATAGGGAGTCTTTGGTGCTTTGGACAGAGTCCAAACGGTTTACACTCAGGTCTTTAAATCACCTGCACGTTGAATGTGTGATGGTTGTAGGTTGCACAGTCCAGCATTGCGGCAGACCTGAGCTCTCTCTCTGTCTCAGCCTCTCTCTCTCTCTCTCTCTCTCTCACACCCTATTCTCAACATCAGAGCAAATACAACTGTCCTCAGTAGAGTCAGTGGGCGATGCCTTTCTTTTTTCTCTCTCTCTTCTCTGCCTTAAATCGATCGCTTCTGCCCTTCCCAGTCTCTGCAGAATCCCTCTGTGTGTCTGTGTCTGTCTGTCTGTCTGTCTGTCTGGTTGTGAGATTTTAAAACTCTGAAGATTCACAACTGTTAAGTTTGACAGAGTGAGAGATTGAGTGTGGGAATGGGGTGGGAGGAAGAGAGAGAGAAAAAAAGAGGTTGAAACAACCGTTTAAGAGCCAGTGGGACATGAATGCAAAGTTGCAATAATAATAATCCTGGCATTTGATACAGCGTCTTATCACGTCTTCGAGACGTCTCAAAGCGCTTCACAGGATATACTGTAAAGTGAATTGACTGTATATCGTGTGAGTGAAACACAGTAGTTAATTGTACACAGGAAATCCTTGGAATCGCATCACCTTCCTCCCCGCCCAAGAAAAAACAATTATAAAATCTGCAGCAAAAATAATGGTATTCAGACAGTTCACCCCAAAGGAAAATGTTTAAACCCCGTTCACCCTCAATCCCAAGGTCTGGTGTGAATATTGGGAGTGTTTTTAATATCTGTATTTGTCATATTTTGTTTTGAGAAAGATTTGGAAGAAACTTAAAATGTTATGCCCCCCCCCCCCACCCCCCCATTCTAGGTGATCTTGAAATATGTTGTAAAATATCTAACTAATATATAACTACTATAATATATAACTTATATAATTTTACAACATATTTTAAGGATTTTGCCCTTAAACGATTCCCCCCCCCAAAAAAAAAATCGTTCATTCAATTCATGGCTGTTTGACGTTGCAAATTGACTTCCACATTTGCCTACAGATCACACAGTCACTGCATTTTATGGTAAATCCTGTGAAGCACTTGGAGACTCTCAACATCATGATAAGGAGCTATATCAAATGCAAGGATTATTATTATTATTTTACAGTATGTCCTGTGAAGTGTCTGAAATGTCCTCCTGACCTGAAAGGTGCTGTACCAAGTGTAAATTAGATTGATTCAAATGCAAGGATTATTATTGTTGTCTGAATTCATAATCCAGACTGTGGGAAATGTATTCATTAAGAAGCACAGTACCATAATGACAAGGGAATTGGACTTTGTCCTCAAGATAAGAGTTCACTTCGGAAGCTGTTCACTCTAACTGAACTTTGATTAAAAACATTTATCAGTTTGACAGAAAACACAAGCAATTTGATTTCCAAACCTGGAGTTGGTTTGCATAATAGTCGCTTGCTGCTGATCAGAAGTATCTGGGGGTGGAGGCAGAGTGGTGAGACAGAAATAATCCATGCTCATTTATCAGAGATGCCTGACCCATTCAGAAACCCATCACCAAGCTAAGGAGTTGGCAAGCTTACCGCAGTGTTGGTAGGAGTGCTGCATTGTCAGGTGCCATCCTTCAGACGAGGTGTTGATCCAAGGTCCTCTCTGTGCCTGTTGAGGTGGACTTTAAAGTTCCTAAGGCTTTATTTGAAAAGAGTGAGTTTCTCCTGGTGTCCTGGCCAATGCTTTTTCAGATTATGTTGGTCATTCACTTAATGGCTGTTGTAGAACATTGCTGTGCGCAAATTAAATTGGCTGCTGTGTTTTACCTACAAATACTTTAAAATGTCTCAATAATATGATAAGACGCTGTAGGAAATGCAAGGATTAGTTTTTTACCCTTTAATACTCTCAGTTCCCAAGTATATATCTACCTCCCTTTAAATATCCCAATTGATTCTGGCTCTATGGTCTTGTGAGAAGATGCATTCCACATTCTCTCACCTTTTGTGTTAAGAAATGTTATCCAATCTCACTTTGAGCTAGTCCAGGTCTAAATGTAACATGACGCCCACTTGTTCTGGATCCCTCCACTAGACGGAAGGGCCATCCAACTATCTAGTTTATTAATTCCCATTATTATTTTCAATGCCTCAGTCAGCCGCCCTTTAACCTCCTCATCTCTTTAGGAAGTAAAGATTGAAGGTGCTTTAATATCACTGGATACATCATGTGAGTTGCCGTTCGAGATGCGAATAGACAGCAATTACAAAAATCTGCTAAACAGGGGATAAAGGATAAGAATCACAGGGAAAGTTAAAATAGCTATGATGAACCGTTGATGCTCGATAGAAAGGCAACGTTTTGCGAAACACCTTTGAAACCAAAAGTTTGCCTTGCTTGGCAGTGGGAATAAATATACGAGGAGAGCTTACAAATTGAAGTAGGAATGATACATTCTACTCCCAGATAACATCGCGTCAGCCCTCCGCTCATCCCAGTATGGCACATTGACGATCTTTGCATTGAGTCACAGAGCTTTGACCTCGGTCCATGACTCAGTAATTCAGCACTGTCTAGTTTGGCCTGAAGGCCCTGGGGATTCCATTGCTCTGGAAAGAATTTTTCACAACGGGATAGAAAGAGAGAATCTTTCCAAGCAACCACAACAATGACGTGTATATAGCGCCTTTCACGTCAAAGTGCTGGACAGCCCCAAGCCACCTTCAAACGTCCTACTCTATGCTGTTGGTTTGCATGATTGATACCAAACTGAAATACTGTAATTACCTGGAGCAGAAACCTGGAGGTATGATTAACGGAACTCAAAGGAGCGGTGAGGTTTGGATGGAAAGGGTACGACTGATATTCCACTAGGCATGTGTTACTCCAAGTGTAACTGGAACTTCACTGCTGAAGGGATTTTTCACAGTCACCCAGTACGTTTTATTTATTTGGGTTCTTGAGCTAGAGAAAAAGACTTAGACTCTTGTAGCTGAGTTTGGGTTAAAGGCTGTTCTGGGATAGATGTAGGAGTTAAATCCCGTTTTCTGCACCTCATTCATTAAATGATGGACACAAGAGAGAACACTAGCTAATAGAAATGCAACAGACAGCCATCATCCAAATGCAAGTGGCCTAAATGTGTTTGTCAGACTTCAGAAGCTGTCAAATCATAGACCTGGATAAAATTGTCAGAGTGAAGAGGAGATGTGTAGCCGACTGTTTGGACAACTCAATGAGCAATCACAGAGGAAATTACCAGCCACTGTCATACGCCTTACGTACAAATTCTGCTTCAAGAATAGTGTCACGGGATCTTTAATGTCCATCTGAGCAGATAGACAGGACCTTGGTTTAACGTCTCATTTGAAGGATGGCCACTCCCAACAATGCATTCCCCCAGCACTGTATTGGAACATTAGCCTAAACTGTGTGAGGCCAAAATCCTGATGTTAGGCTTGAATCCACAACAGTGTTTATGACTCAGAGGTAAGAGTGCCACCCACTGGGCCAGACTGACCCCTTACCAAGATTTACAAAGAATGTACAGCACAGAAACAGGCCGTTTGACCCAACCAGTCTGTGCCGGTGTTGGGGTTCAGAGGAAGGGAGAGATCTAATGAGCTAAATGGCCTTCTTCATCCGAACTTCTCTTGTGATTCCTTCCTTCCCTGGATTCACTGCAATAGACGTTGAACCAGAGCAGTCAGCGTTCACCATGCTTCAATATCTCCTGGCTCCTGGGGAAGATCTGCTGACAGCCTAGAGCCATGGCTATCCTAAAGACTAACTGACTCAGCTCCCAATTCCCCTTCCAGCTGTCCCAAC